TACAGTCAAAGTCAATTTATGTATCTCTAACGAACATTTCGCCTGGGTGGAGGTGTATCGGAGTGGTCTAATGTACTTCCATAATGATCAGGGAGACGCAGTGAACTGCAAGATCGATAAAGCTCTACAGAAGGGTAGCTTATGCANCACGATGGTCTGTTCAATGTTGCTGCTGAAAAGTCTCAATTCTTTAGTGAGTGTATTGGCTAATTTCCTGCAGGCAATCCTCCAAAGCCTACCAACCCAAATTCTCATGCTTGTTGTCACTCAATTAAACGTTCGTGATATGGTCTCCTTGGGCAAATCATGTTGGAATCTTTACTGCAGGTTGCAGCCCAGCATCCTCAAGGACAACATTCAACACCAGAACAGCAATCTCCTGCACCTGGCGGCCAGAGACAACGACTATGCTCGGGCCGAGCTCCTGCTTCTTTATGGTGCCAATGCCAACACCTTCCTGCATGGAAAGCCTCCGTTGATGAGAGCTATTCAGCATGGATCGATAGACGTTCTCGGACTTCTGCTCAGTCATCAGAATATGAATATTTGGATGCTAAATCGAGAGGGAGAAAGTGCCTCGACCTACGCTGTCAAATACGGAACCTGTGCAGGCAAGGAAAGGTTGGCCAAGCCACGACTTGATATCACAATCCGAGATGAACACGACCGAACTGTGCCTAGTGGCCATTTGCACCGGTCACATTGGATTTCTTCCGTGGCTGTGGATTCCGCTCGATGGTCTGAGAGCTAAGGGCGGTCGAGGCTATCCACTTAGAAACTGGGTTCGACGGACCAAGTCTCAACGGTGATGGAACTTGATCGTTTCCGTGGAGCGCATTTGAACATTGATAAACTGTCAACGAAGTCCACCGTTGCTCTGGTGAGATTATCTATACTATGTCATAAAGAGATCTGCGGCCTATTTAAGCATTCCTGAGTCTTAAGCAATCCTGAGTCAGATTACATCCAGCAACAAATCGGCCACCATGAGCTCTTCAAAACGTCCTTTGTCTTCTCCTACATTCCAGTCCTCCAAAAGACAACAGGTACACCGAGAGACTGACAGTGAGTTGCCGGAGCAAATTCACGATCAACCACCTGAGAAAATCATTTCGGCGGACGGAAACAAGGTTATATAGCCTCCCACTTATTGTATGACTANTTTAAGGCTATCTTCTTCGTGGGTGAGACCTCGCGCACACAGCCCAGGACCATCGATTTGGATATCACCGAAACAAGCGATTGTATACAGCGAAGACAGAGAGAAACGGAATGCATAGTAGACCAGGAAGAAGGCAACAAATCAGCCTGTATCGCATTCGCTCCTCAAGTATATTTCAGGTGTCTAGGACAAACGAAAAACTTGATGGCCGCAGTAAAATTTGCCAAGTTTGGTAGAAACCGAGTAGATAAGTAAAACTATAAATGCAAGGACAAGACACCCAGTGACTCGCGCAAGATAGAATACTTTTTCCTACCATACAGGGATTATATCTCATAGGGTGATTCAGACATGAACCTCTTACTAGCACTTTTTACCTCTATCTCGGTGGTTCTTGCCGGGACACTTCAGATAGTGGACCACGAGGGGCAATGCTTTGTGTACTCTACGGAAAATTTCGACTGTACCGGGATTTCAGAGCCATTTGCCTCTTTGAATGGCACTTCTTGCTCCAGTAAGGCGACCATCGATGCTTTAAAGCTAGTACTAACGACTTCAAGATCTGATCACAGCGCGGAAACACACCAAATCCGAGTCCGATACAGTCAAAGTCAATTTATGTATCTCTAACGAACATTTCGCCTGGGTGGAGGTGTATCGGAGTGGTCTAATGTACTTCCATAATGATCAGGGAGACGCAGTGAACTGCAAGATCGATAAAGCTCTACAGAAGGGTAGCTTATGCACTGCGGAAAGCACTTCAAGGACTGTGATACCAAGCGAAAGTCCTCAGCCGACTTCATCTGACGCTATGTCCTCCCAGGCCTCATTTGCGACAACAGTATCGACCACGACACTTTCGAACTCGAGCTTTATTAATTCTGCGGGGGGCTGTGAGTTCTGAAAGCCTTCATCTATCAAGGCCACTTTGCTGCTTGACTTGCAATTTTGTCTGTCGAAACTGAGTCTACCCGGTGACCGTGAACACATGTGACCTGTGGATTTCTTGCTATGTCCTGTATCTCCTGTGTCCCCAATTGCCCGGCCTCAGGTTTCTCTAATTGTTTGACTGAATCCTTTGCGAAGATTGCAGTTTAGTGCAACTATTGAAGTATGATGACACGTGTATCAAGAAGGCCAGGAGAATCTGCTCACCGATTTGATTGCTGGCTCGGTAATTTCATTGTCTTTGTGCTGTTTCCAAAGGGTCTTGGTTGGTACAGAAGTTATTAAAACAGCTTAATCTGCCAGACACACAAAATGCATTCCTCCGATAACTCAAATCTTCCCGGAACTCTCATCGGCATTTAACTGGAGAAAGCCCCATCTGACAGGAGTGTAGCTAGTTGTGGGAAGCTGAACTTTGGCAAAGGCACTCAAATCTCTACTAAGCTACTGCTGTAACCTTTTGCTGTCAAATTTTCTATTTGTTCCAGTATTTGTTTGCAAAGGACCTACGGAAATACGGAAATACGTCATAGATATGTCTTTATCTTTCTAGTCAGACCAAGCGAAACGGGATTAGTGTCTCTGAGCGAATGTGAATACAGCCTAGTAAGGGATAAAATTTGTCACGACGCTTGATATATGTATGGCATAGAGTGAGCACCTGGAAAAAAGGACTCCAGATTTGGCCATGAGGGAATCTCTTGCCGAATTAATGTGGGACATAGACAACTACTCTTGAAGCTCTTTTTACTTTGTTTCTCACAGGTTGTCATTCTTAAGTATAGCTATCGTGAGATCTGGAAGGACGCACACCAGAAAAAAACAAAGAAAATCCGGTCCACGCTCGCTCGCCCTTCAGTAACTGCCTTCACTCACTGCGAGAAGGCAGTTCAGTAGGAGTTATTGTTCCACGCGCGCACATATCCGATCTCTCATCAGAAGGCCCTTCCAATCCTAAATCAATGTCGCTGTGCTGCAAAGTAAATGACCGCTATGGACCCGTAGATAACCAGTCCAAGACCTCCAAAGTATATCATGCTGTAGTACACAAAGCCGCTCGGTATATCATTCAAACTTGCAAACAAGATCCGGAGTCCATAGATATTGCTTGCGATATAACCCATCAGAATTAGGATTGCCAGGCTTCGAACGAACTGAATGGAGACGAAAGAATACCGGAACCCGTTTCTCTCCCGTACAAGTCGCAGGTAGGCGGCGAGGATGAGCCCAAATGCAGACAACAAAGCCGGAGGGAGAGCAAGAATCAACATGCTTCTAAGTACGTTGGTCAACATATTTTCGAACATGATAGCTAGCATGGAGTGATCGGATATGGTGTGGCTTGGTCTCGGGTGATCTCGCATGATGAATGGAAAGTTTTCGCCCGTGAACTGAAGGTAGTCGTAGATAAAATAGTTGTGGTGACAAAGAGTATCAAGAGGAACTGTACGTAAATCATATATCCACTCGATCTGATAGATATGACGTCCTTTCAAATAATTTCGTCTGACCACAAGGATCGTGCCCCAAATTATAGTCCAATCAGGCGAAGAGTGGCATGGAAAGTGATTGAGGAGATAATACTCTAGGGACATCTTATAGTATACGAACACAAACTGCATTGCCACCGAAACCATAAGGATAAGGTAGTGAGCCGACCAGCTATGTCAGTGCTGGAGGCTCTTACGACGATTTCAGGTCAAGACTGTGGCTATGTAATGGTTTTCCTAGGAACTCCTATGTCTGAGAAATAGGGCATTCATCGGACCTAGTAGATAAATGGCAAATACTGTCAGCCTTGCGCTTGAGGAGCGAAAACTGACGCTCTTGGTGGTTACGTTCGGAGTAACCCCAATCCCGGTGACATGAAATGCCCTATGTGGTGAAACGCCCACCAGGTACCTGCACATTCGAGGCTCGTCACTCCCAATACATATCCTGAATATTGCCTGAAAGCTGCAGAAACAACAATCATGAAATGCTTTCTTGATAGCTTTTCGAACACGGATTACAAAATGTTCACGTGGCGAAGTACAGACCGAGACGCACTGCTAGAGAGTCCGCCGTTGACAACTATTACGCCAAGATCACAACCAAAAAACTTGAAATGGGTAAGAAAGGTAGTGTTGGATCATTTCGTCTACCTTTCGCCCAGAAACGATTTCTGAGCTTATCATAATCATATTGCCTTGGAGCATACCAATTTCGGTAAAAAGCTTGGCAACAGAAAAGTACATAAAAACATAAAAAGAATACTGACAATGCCAATACAGAGGGGAAAAAAAACATGTAACGTGCCATATATGAAAGATACTAGCGCCGCTAAGCGAACGCCCACACCTACCTCAGGTCCTCCCGGCAACGAGACTGTCGCGTCCTTGCGATCTTGGGAGGGCGAGGAGGAGGAGGTTGCGACCGATTACAGCGCGCGCGTTTCCGTGTTAACGTGCTGTGGTGCAAATGCCGAGCGGTGAAGTGGCTGCCAACGATAAACATCCATCGCCACCCTAGTCGTCGTTCACTCGCGGATTACAAGATAAACAGTGCGAACTGGTGGGAGCTACGAATTTTGTAACGCATCCAGTGTAGATTTCCAATTAAAAATCACTTGAATTTGTGTACAGGGCCGCTCGAAATCAGTTTCACCTCTTTGTTCCCTTCAATTCTTGCGCGAACTCTAGTCTGAAACACGCTAGTCTATTTTAAACTTAGATTCCCGTAAAGACAGCGAAACGTATTTGTATGTTAAGTCACATGATTATTTTCGCGTAATGTACCTGAAATTAAATACGTCTTTATCTAGCGTTTCACTGACTTGATTGCGGGGTATAATGCCAAGTTGGCAGGCAAGTTTGGGTACCACCAAGCACAAACCGGATTCAAGGCTATCATGGCAACTAACATATCCTATGACGGTCCCAACTCTGGGCTTCAGATTGGACACAATCATGGCGATATCACTGCACACTTCTGTAGGTTGGGAAAGGACACGACTTTAACAGAAAGTGACTAATCCGTGCGATTGCCTCAGCACAATCTGAAACCTCGTTGAATCAAGCATGTCTTCGGGATCTGCGAACGACTAATCCTGATGATGACAAAGAACGTATTGAAAAGACAAACGGGGGGTTGTTTCAAGACTCATATCGGTGGATTTGGGACAACGAGCAGTTCAGACAATGGCAAGACAACAAGAGCGGCCGTCTCCTCTGGATCAAGGGCGATCCAGGAAAAGGGAAGACAATGCTTCTGTGCGGGATAATTGATGAATTGACCCGATCTATCGAGAATGACGCAAATATATGCTTCTTTTTCTGCCAAGCTACCGACGTGCGAATCAATCATGCGACGGCCGTTCTTCGGGGTTTAATATATTCGCTAGTCGAGAGGCAGCCATCTCTTCTCTCTCATGTACGGAGCCGGTACGATCAAGCGGGAAAGACGCTGTTTGAGGACATAAACGCATGGAATGCTCTCTCGAAGATCTTTGGAAACATCTTGAAAGATCCTACATTACACGACACTTATTTTGTGATCGATGCACTAGACGAATGCATGACAGATCTTCCTTTCCTTCTGGACTTGATTGGTCAATTGCCAGCCACCCACTCGCACGTGAAGTGGATTGTTTCGAGCCGTAACTGGCCTAGTATCGAAGAGCGTTTTGATACTGCAATTCAGGCAGCGCCGATCTCATTGGAACTAAATGAGGCGTCTATATCTAACGCCGTGCAGAAATTCATCCGGCACAAAGTTTACCAATTAGCGAAGGTCAAAAAATATCAGGATGATGTACGCGATACGGTATACCGCTATATGTTGTCTCACTCCCAAGGAACTTTCCTGTGGGTGGCACTGGTTTGTCAATATCTTAATAGAACATCGCGGAGACATGTGCTTAAAAAGCTTAAGGAGTTTCCTCCTGGGCTGGATGCGCTATACGGTCGAATGATTGATCAGGTTCAAAAGTCAGAAGACGCTGATATTTGCAAGCGAATACTGGCTGTTATGTCGATGGTGTATCGGCCTGTCAATCTTGAGGAACTAATCACCCTAATTGAAATGCCCGATGATCTCTCTAATGATCATGAAGGTTTAATGGAGATCATCGCGATCTGCGGATCCTTTCTGACATTGCGTGAGAATATTGTTGTTTTCGTACATCAGTCTGCAAAGGAATTTTTACTCGAACGGGCGCGGATCGAAGTGTTTTCAGGAGACAATGAAGACGAACATCTTGCAATTTTCTCACGATGTTTACAAATTATGTTTGAGACGCTTCGGCGAAACATCCTCGAAACTGAGTTTGGTGGAATATCGACTGATGAAATAAAACGACAAGGCCCGAAGTCTTTAGCCGCCGCAAAATACGCATTTTTGTTTTGGGTTGATCATCTTCAGCGAGGATGGCGTGGTGAAAATAACGATCACAGCCTTAGCGATGGAGGAAACGTTGATGGTTTTCTGGAGCAAAAGTATCTCAATTGGCTTGAAGTTCTCGGTATTTTTGAAAGCGTACCAGAAGGCATAAGGGCTATGCTGAAGCTGAAGGACTTACTTCGGGTGAGTGATTATCTATATTCCGAATATCTAGGCTTCTAACAAGGTACCACTTGTAGGAAAAGGGAAACTCACGGACCCTCCAAGATCGAGCTCAAGATGCGTCCCGATTCATTCAATACTACAGCCAAGCTATCGAAAGCTGCCCCTTTCAAGTATACAGTTCAGGGCTTATATTTAGCCCTAATCAAAGTATCACGAGGACATGTTACCAGAAAGAGAAACCAGGCTGGATTTTGAACAGCCCCGCGGTGGATGAAACATGGAGTTTATGTCTTCAAACTCTCGAGGGGCATAGTAACTCCATTAACTTGATCGTCTGGTCACCAGATGGAAGTCGACTCGCATCAGCGTCAATTGATAAAACTGTCAGGATCTGGGATTCAGCTACCGGCCAATGCTCGTCAACTCTCGAAGGCCATAGTGACTCGGTAAACTCGATTGCCTGGTCAACAGATGGCAGCAAAATCACAACAGCGTCGGGTGATAAGACCATCAAGATCTGGGATCCGGCTACCGGCCAGTGTGCGTCAACCCTTCAGGGGCATAGTGATTGGGTCAACTCGGTTGCTTGGGCTCCCGATGGAAGTCGGCTTGCATCAGCGTCAGATGACAAGACCGTCAGGATCTGGGATTCAGCCACCGGGTATTGTGGTTTAACCCTTCATGGGCATGGCAACTGGGTCAACTGGGTTGCCTGGTCGCCGGATAGAAGCAGACTCGCATCAGCGTCTAATGACAAAACCATTAGGTTATGGGATGCGATTACTGGGCAGTGTGAATTAACCCTTCGGGGGCATAGTACCTGGGTCAACTCGGTTGCATGGTCACCAAACGGAAGTCGACTCGTATCAGCGTCGGATGATGCGACTATTAGGATATGGGATCCGGCTACCGGGCAGTGTGCGTCTCTCCTTAAGGGACACAGTGGCTCGGTCACGTCAATTACCTGGTCACCTGATGGAGGTCGACTTGCGTCAGCGTCGGATGATAAGACCATCAGGATCTGGGATGCCGCCACCGGCCAGTGCGCATTCACTCTCGAGGGGCATAGCCGCTCGGTTCAGTCGATTGCCTGGTCACCTAACGGACGCCGACTCGCATCAGTGTCGGATGATACGACTGCCAGAATCTGGGACATGACCACCGGGGATTGTGCCTCAACTCTTCAAGGGCATAGTAAATGGGTGAACTAAATTGCCTGGTCGCCTGATGGAAGTCGACTTGCATCAGGGTCGGATGATAAGACTGTCAAGATATGGGATTCGGATACCGGCCAGTTCGTGTCTGCCCCCGAAGGCCATAGCGAGGCAGTCACCTCAATTGCCTGGTCACCAAATGGAAGCCGACTCGCATCAGCGTCGAGCGATAAAACTGTCAGGATCTGGGATCCTTCCACCGGCAAGTGTGCATCGACCCTTCAAGGCCACAGTGACTCAGTAAGGTCAATTTCCTGGTCACTTGATGGAAGTCGACTCGCGTCAGCGTCGGATGATACGATCGTCAGTATCTGGAATCCGGATACTGGCCAACGTGCATCCACCCTCGAAGGTCATAGTGGCTCGGTCACGTCGATCGCCTGGTCGCCCAGGGGAAACATACTCGCATCAGCGTCAGGTGATAAGACCGTGAGGATATGGGATCTGGCTACCCGCCAGTGTATGTCAATACTTCAAGACCATGGTAATTGGGTCAGCTCGATTGCCTGGTCGCCAGAAGGAAGCCGACTAGCATCAGCGTCATACGATAACAGCGTCAAGATCTGGGATGCGGCCACTAGCCAGTGCACGTTCACACTTCAGTTACATAGCCAGTGGGTCAACTCGATTGCCTGGTCGCCGGATGGAAGCAGACTCGCATCAGCGTCGGGTGATAAGTCGGTCAGGATCTGGGATCCGGATACTGGCCAGTGCGCATCTACTCTCGAAGGGCATAGTCTTTCGGTTCAGTCGATCGCCTGGTCGCCAGATGGAAGCCGGCTGGCATCAGCGTCCTACGATGACACCGTCAGAATCTGGGATCGGGCCACCAGCCAGTGCACGTTCACCCTTGATATTCACTCACCTAACTTCCTCCAGTTTGATAAAGCTATGCCCGAAAATCTTCAAACGAACGTTGGTACATTTAATCTAGGATCCTCAGACCCTGTTGCTTCTAAGCCCCACTGTTTGACCCTGTTCGAAACACATGGATATGGCTTGAGTGATGACTCTTGTTGGATTACCTATAATGGACTCAACCTGTTATGGCTGCCAGCTGAATACCGATCATCCGATCCCTCTTTGTTCGCTAAATTTGCACCAACAGTGGCAATTGGTTGCTCATCAGGTCGTGTCATATTCCTTGTATTGGCAGAGTACAATCATCTATCCACAATGTGATTAGCAATCTAGCCATTGAATATCTCTTTGCCTTCCTATCCCATTGTCATTAGCTCTGAGCACTCTTAAAGCTCTAGACTAGTCTCATGATGCTTTGTGTCCAAATCCGGCAACAACTTATTCCTTGGGTCGTGGGTAACCAGCTAGTGTTCAGTGCTAGCACTGATCAACGCCCGCAGTTTTCTGATGGAGTACATAACAGCACCTTCCCAGGAACCAAAAAGGTCCTCAAGTCACGTGCATTTCCCAATACCCCAGCATCCCCCAAGACTTTCACGAAAAATAATTTCATCTGCCCACTGAGCAGAGGGGTGAGCAGGGTGAGCATGGAGAACACGCTTTCCCCACGGTGCGTCAACGACGCTCTTTGCCCCCTTCTCCCCCCCCTGCCAAAATGGCGCCTCGACTGCCTCCATCCAAGCTGGAGATGATTCGTGACATGATACACAGCGGATCCCTGACTATAGCACGGATGGCCGATGCTGCTGAGTGTAGCGAGCGCTCGATCATCAATATTCGTAATAATCTTCGCCATTTCGGGAATGTCAGAGCTCCGTTAACTCGCGTCGGCCGGCGACGAAGCACCACGCCTCTAATGATCCAGACCTTGTGTGACCATCTCCTTGAGAAGCCTGGGTTATATGTAGATGAGATGGTGCTTTTCCTCTGGGATGAGTTCCGTGTTTGGGTGACAAGCTCGAGTCTCAAGCGGGCTCTTGCTTCGGTCGGATGGTCGAAAAAGGTAGCTCGACAGAGAGTAAAGGAACAAAACGCTGATTTGCGAGATTTCTACCTACACAACCTATCTGACTTCAAGTCGTATCATCTGGTGTATGTGGATGAGTCTGGATGCGATAAACGAATCGGTTTCAGACGCACCGGCTGGTCTCCGCTGGGCTTGACGCCATTGCAAGTATTCAAATTCCATCGTGACCAGCGATGGCAGATCTTGCCAGCATACGCACAAGACGGTGTTGTCCTGTCACGAGTATTCCAAGGCTCGACTGATGCGGCCGTGTTCGAGGATTTCATTCAGCAGCTTCTCAAGCACTGTGGGAAATGGCCTGAACCGAAGTCTGTGATTGTCATGGACAACGCCTCTTTTCACCACTCTGACCGAATCAAGGAAATGTGCGCAGATGCTGGCGTGAAACTGCTTTATCTGCCGCCTTACTCACCTGATCTGAATCCTATAGAGGAGTTTTTCTCCGAGCGGAAGGCATACATTCGGCGCCACTGGCAAAAGTATGAACAAAGCCCCGATCAAGGATTCGATACATTCCTCGAGGGGTGTGTTGACGCTGTCGGGTCTCGACAACGGAGTGCAATCGGCCATTTCCGGCATTCTGGAGTCGTTGTTGAAAATTATCATTGAGTAATACTCGACATGGTACTGTACTTGATAACTACCTGAGGATTTGGGGCAGTAGAGCTGGTATTATCTTCATATAGCACTGAATCACATCAACGCGATCGGGGGCGATTGAACACGAAATCTACGTATAATATCAAAACGCCTGCCACGCATTCGCACTGTAAGCCTGCGTAGTCAATCCCTCACATCCCTTGCCCATCTACCAATATCGCCTACGAACCGGCGTGCGATACCTACCGCAACTCCTTTTTCGATGAAGAATCCGGCATCATGATCCTCATAGATCTGTTCAAGATCCAAGCCGTTGGTGAGCGTTACATCACAGGCCAGCCGAAATTGGGCCTTAAGGGTTTCATCAATGACGTTTGTTTCTTGCCATGCACTGTAGTCTCTCACAGCCACATCTCGGGGTCCATCGATGACGAGCCGATTTGGGTCTTGCCTATTTTTCAGAGGCGGCAGAACAGGTACCGCTGTAGGAGTAACCACTGCTGGCTGCAGAGAAGGCTGCGCTCCCATAAAGTTGATATTGATCGGCGGGCAGCTTCCGGAGATGGCTCCTTTATTGCTCTTGGATCGTGAAGATTCTAGCCTGTGCTGTTCCTCCATGTAGAGCTCTTCACGAAAAGTGTCAGGAACATCATCCTGGCACTCCAGAACGCCGCCCCCTTCAACGTAAGCTATCAGACGTTTCAAATGATGAGTCCTTAGCTGGTAGTGTTTCTTCCCATGAGGATCCTGCCAGCAATGCGGGCCTAGGTGACAGGATGGGGAAGGGCAACGCATCAAGCTGTAGACAGCCCGCCAGACCGACTGTTGCCCGGACACATACTCTTCGGCGTCAAGTTGTGCGTCTCGCTCGTTGAGCATTTTCTTGGTGACAGACGACTTTCCCCGCTTCTCGCTCCTAGAAAGGTCGTCCTCTATATAGTGGAAAACAATCATGAGTCTCAACTCCTTGCCCCGGGTATAAAGTTTACCCCACGCAAGTAACTGTTTCTCGACCGCCATCCAATCAATATCGAGAGCGTTGAACCGCTTCTTTAGGTTTCGTTGCTTGCGATCGTTGACCGACACAACCATGGACGTGTCATCGGACCTGACCCGTCGATTACGAGAGACTCTCTCTTGGAGAACTTTCTCAAGCTTACCCTTGAGAACCGAGGGCCAATAAGCACTTGGAGTGAGGGTTACATCCTGTTCCGTTTCCTCCGACCTGAAGCGATTATTCACCTTCACCTTCCACTCGATCGTATACCGGATAACGTTTTGAGGGAGTTCGTCGTCTGTTCTATATTCTTCCCACTCGCTGAGTTGAAGAAGCCTTGGGTTGTCTTCCTGGGGAGAAGAGAGGGCTGCAGGGCCATCTTGAGTGTAGCAATCTGGTGAAGGGCTGAATCCATATCCTGAGGGTGGTGTGTGATCATGATATCCTGGAGTGGGTTCGTATTGCCAATCCTGGTCCAAGACATCGGGCGTATGAGCTTGAGAATCAGAACGGTCGCAAAATGAGTCGTTAAACATAGTTACCACTCCCCTGGTGAAGGCAACGTTAGCATACTGGGCTTTTGGTTTCAACTGGTGGTGGGATCGGTTGAAGAGTGTAGCAGCTTGTAGAGTCGACGATAAACGTGTTTCAAGAAAAACCCCACCGGAATATTCTTTAATTGTGCACTTCTTTTCGTTAATTCAACAACTTCTGTCCTGTCAGTGGAGTGAGCGGAGTTGACTGAAGTTGGATTGTGTAACATCGTGGCCAGACAACCACCTGCCCCTTTTCTTGGCATATTTGGCTTGTTTGTTATAGGGAGCTTCTAGAACGGACAACCCATACAAGACAATACAGGGGCTATTTTTACACAGTATTTGAAAACAGTATTAAAATACCGCCAAGCACGGTGCCAGGGGCAGCCTAACCATAATGGGTATAGTTTGATGCAAGACACAGTTCTGAACTAAATTAAAATCAAAAAAATACGTGAAACTGATTTCGAGCGGCCCTATATGAAGTCGGTATGTGTTAATAAAGTAAAAGTAAAACAAATGTTTTGTATACTGGACATACAGGGCCGCTCGAAATCAGTTTCACCTCTTTGTTCTCTTCAATTCTTTCTTGAACTCCATTCTGAAACAACATAGTCTATTTTTAGTTTGGTTTCTTGTAAGATCGTGACACATATTTGTGGTTAGAGTCACATGACTGTATTTAATATAATGTATTTGAAATAAATACATTACTCTATGTCTGGCATTTGATCATTGAAAAGGCTTTCTTTTTCGGGTAATAGGTAAATTGTCATTACTCCTTACAATAGAAGGGAACTATTGAAGCATAAATCAGTGGGTATATTAGGAGCATGAAGTTGAGAAGATTGGCTCCCCCGACCAACTTCATCGGTCACCTGATTGCGGGGTAAACTTCAAAGTTGAGCAGCGCCCACTCTGGTAAAACCAAGCATCGACCTGATTTGGTTGTTGTGGCAACTAATATCTCACATAATGGCCCTAACTCGGGGCTTCAATCCGGACAGAATCATGGCCCTATCACTGCTCATTTATGTAGGTAGGAAAAATCACGACTCTCACAGAATGTGACTAATCAATTCGACTGTCTCAGTGCAATCGGAAGTGTTATTAAATCAAGCTTGCCCGCAGGATCTGCAAATGATCAGTCCTCATGACGACAAGGGCCGCATCGAACAAAGGGCATGAGTCCTGGATACACGTTACTGTACTCTCGATCGATCGATCTCTATAATCTTATCTCCCTTATACAATTTTGGTCATGTGCAACTACTGTACGTCATTCTTTATATCGTTGTACTCTAAGTTCCTAAACACATCAAATCGGCCTGCAGCCGAATGCACGCTATTCCGGATCTGGCTAAAAGGTAGGTTGACATTCGTCTAGACTTTTTAGCGAAACTTGAAGGACGATCTTCTTTCCGCAATGCTGATTGGTGGGTCCCTGCCCGAGGGTAAAACTTGGAATGGACCATCCGAGGCAGTGTCATGCCCGGCACCACAGTTAATAAAAATAGGTACTCCGTGCAGATTCGTTGCGATCTGGTCCTGACGCGATATTCCTCGTGATCGAGAAACCCTCATCTGAGTGGGGTAACTGAGGCGATTCCCGGGCTGGAATCTATGACCCTGCCAAGCCATATTGTCGGCTTGGAAACTTGAACACTTTAGATTTACTTTAACATACAGAGCGGTGAAGCGCCACGTTCATTCTACCAAATCCGAAACAAATTTGCCGCAAGATTTGATGGCCGCGGCCTCCCGTCGTCATTCTCGTCCTCGCCTACACCCATAACCGCTATCCGATGCGTTGGACAATCCCTCGAGTAACCGACAGATCAACCCCTCCCCTCCCCCCGGCGTTTCCCTCTCACCGTCGTTTTCGATCTCATCGCCAGTTCGAGAAGATCGGGCTTTCGCGCAGCCATGGAACCTAGCAGGGCCGAAGAGCACCAGGCTGGCCGCCGGACTCGTGAAGTATATCGCTACTTCCGACCAGAGCGCCTGGAGACTATCCGAGAGAACACCTCGTCACCGGCTGGGTCAGGCTCTTCGCTGAAGCCACCAAGCTCCAATAATTCTATCCCCACTGAGCACCCTTCTTCCCCAGGAAATTTGCAACAGTCTTCGGAACATCATACCTGGGCGCCGATACAGCCCATGCCCGAATCGCTAATCCTTGGCGACGCGAATGAGACATTGAATTCTCTGGCACAGTTAGCCGCTCTTCGTCTCAATGTGGATCGCGTGTTCATTAGGTGAGTATCGACATGTTCGTGTTGAAATTACGCCGCTAATCGCGCATGTCGCTTCGCAGTGTCTCGGATCGTGATTCACAATTTATAATTGCGCAAGCTGCCCAAACCAAAACTGGAGATGGTAATCATGATCTCATAGGGAATGCAATGAAAACCGGCTGTTACACTCTCAACGTGAGCGCCTGGAGTATGTGCAAAGCAAGTTATCCACTCCAGATACGCTTCTCAAACAGTGGACGGCCCCAGGACTGACTAGTGTCTCTTCTCTACCACTAACAGGATACTGTCGCATTACATCAATCCAATCGAGAAAAAGGAGAATACAACTTTTTAGTCTCCAACGACCTGAGTCAGGATGAGCGGTATAAGGATCTTCCTTTCGTGGTAGGGGAGCCCGGCTTCCGCTTCTATGCCGGTACGCCTCTTACCACGGAAAGTAATGTCAACATTGGTTGCTTCTTTGCTCTCGACACAAAGCCTCATGCAGAGTTCAGCTATATCGAGAAGGAGACGATGGGCTATATGGGGATGCTCATTATGGACTATTTGAAAGTCAGTCGGCAGGCCTCGGACGGTCGCCATGCTGCGAGGTTATCGCGCGGTATCAATCTTTTCGTCGAGGGCCATTCCTCCTTTGACAAGCCTTCATCAAGGCCGGTCTCGGGTATTTTTGGCTCACAACCAGGTCATCCCGGGATTTCAACCCTAGTATCACGGTCCCCTTCTACGTCCACGCAAAGTTCCCGCGACGATTGTTCTAGCCGCTCGCGTTCACGAAGCGCACGATCATCAAGCTCGACAGCTGACAGCGTTGATGAACGGGCTATCCCATCCAGCCTTGACTCACACATCGCAAAGCGCCTGGCAAATAAATCAAACGGTACCCGGGGGCTTCCAGCAAAGTCGTGGACTTTTCGTCGAGCCGCAAACCTTATTCGTGAGAGTCTAGAACTCGAGGAGAAGAGTGGCGTGATCTTTCTTGAAGCTGGCGGAGGCCTCGCTGCAGAACCCGGAACAGATAGCGACACATCCATTTCGTGCGCATCGGAGATTTCCAGACCTGCCTCGATTGTAGCACTGTCTACCACCGAAACGGCATTTGGCCCAGATTCGACCTCGCACAAGCCTCTCCCTGTCATGAAGTTGGATGAGACATATCTCAGAGGTCTTCTCAAGCGATATAGGAGGGGACATATCTGGAATTTTCACCGAGACGGGCAGCTGTCTAGTTCGGATAGTGAAGACCACTTCCAGCAAGGCCACAGACGTGGTCGAGCGAGAAGTTCTGCCGATTTATCGAAGTCACGGAAGAGAACGAAAGTGAAAGACAACTCTCAGCTCAATAGATATTTTCCTGGGGCTACTCAGGTCTTGTTTGTGCCTCTGTGGAATGCTGCCATTTCGCAGTGGTTCGGTGGCTTTTTCTGTTGGACCAACGTGGAACATAAAGTGTTCAGCCCTTCAATAGAGCTGAGCTCTTTGCTGAGCTTTGGATCTTCGATTATGGCTGAGTGCAGTCGTATTGAAACCGTGATCGCGGATCAGCAGAAGGATGATTTTCTGGGCAGTATTTCGTAAGTCCTACCGACATTTACCCTTGTGGAGGTCAATCTAGCCAACCATCAACCGACAGGCATGAACTGCGCAGTCCACTTCACGGTGTCCTAGCAGCCACCGAAATGCTCAAAGACACGAACTTGGACCAATATCAAAACTCACTCATAGAGACAGTTGATGCCTGTGGCCGAACATTACTTGATACCATGAATCAAGTGCTCGATTTTAGCAAGATCATGTCTCTAGAACGCAAGTCACGTCGGCGGAGGCGACGTAAGGCTTTGTCTCAAGACCTTGATAATTCACATCTCTCTGCTGCGCATCTCGATTTGTACAAGCCCATCGACCTTTCTGTGGTTGCAGAGGAAGTGGTGGAAGGCGTGTTCCTAGGGCATATGTATAATCAAAGATCAACCGCGTCCCTGGACCTCTTAGGTACTTCTCTCGTTGCACCGGAATTCCCCGAGGATCTTCATGCTGTCAAGCCAGGCGTCAAAGTGATTTTGGATATCGCACCTACAGACTGGATCTACCATGCTCCTCCCGGAGCTGTGCGCCGCATCATCATGAATTTGTTCAGCAACGCGCTCAAATATACCCCTGCCGGCCGAGTTTGCCTACGGTTGGAGGCGGAAGAGAAACCCGAGGCTTCAACAAAGCGGCCAGTACATAGGGAGCGTGCCAAGGAGCGTAATGTCATCCTGACCGTTTCTGATACTGGCAAGGGCATATCGGAGGAATTCTTGCGTGGGAAGCTGTTTATGCCATTTGCTCAAGAAGACAGTCTTGCCGTTGGCTCTGGTCTTGGCCTGTCGATTGTTCGCAGCCTCATCCAGTCTTTAGGTGGTAGTATTGATATCAAAAGTTGCCTCGGTGAAGGAACGACGGTGAGAGTATCAATCCCACTGGCGCGCATAGAGCAGGATGGTGATGGGCTTGGGTTAGATATCGTTTCGGGCCATGAACCATCGTCGAGACAGATCGCCACTCTACAGGGCCACAAAGGCCGGACGGTTGCCATACTCGGAGTAGATCCACGTGATGCACCGAGCGATCCGGAATGGGCCGATCTATCTCGTTACATCACCGATTGGTATGGTCTCAGGTTGGTTTCCATGTCGGCCTCCGAACCCATCGACCTCATCGTGGCCGACGAATTGCCCAGTGAGACTACGATCAGCCAAAGCTCTGCGACCATAAAGACAGCTTTGCTCGTCATGAGCGATCAATATGTCGGTCGTGAATCTGTTCCCGTCAAATGGCTTAGGGGTACCAAATCCGTCAACGTGATCAATCGCCCGTGCGGCCCTCATAAGCTACGCCGATGCATCTCCAAATGTCTGGATGAAGCATTGTCTTTGCCAATGTCACCCGAGACCAACGCAATTATCCTACCGGAACGGCCTGCCCTAATCTCCACGAGGTCATCAGTCGGGAACCTTCATTCGAAGAACCCGCCAGCAAACGCAATAATCGATAGGAAGAGAGCCCGTTCTTTCACTCTTCCGGCCGAACTTGCCCCCAAGTCTTTGATGCGACCAAGGGCTGAAAAACGTGACGCCCGAATCTTGGTCGTGGAGGACAACAAGATCAATCTCAACCTGATGCTAGCATATCTGAAGAAAAGACAGCTCTCAACCTTGCATTCTGCTGAAAATGGCTGTCTGGCGATCGAAGCTGTTAAGAAACAAGATGATGATAACTACGACATCATCTTCATGGGTGAGTTCTTTCATACTTTGTAGCCGAAACATCAAACTAACTGGACCTGATTTAGACATTTCAATGCCAGAAATGGACGGGTTTGAAGCAGCTCGGGCGATTCGTGCATTGGAGAAGGATCGTAGCCCGGGCTCTGCGCCGGCTATTATCATCGCGCTGACGGGTCTCAGCAGTCCCGAGGATGAATGCAAGGCCTTTGAGTCGGGAATAGACATGTTTTTGACAAAGCCCGTCTCTTTTAAGAATGTCGGGAAGTTACTGAAAGATTGGACGGACAGACGGGACGAAGGGAATAGTGATTTTTCTGCATGATGTTATAAACCTTTGTATAGTGTACGGTCATTCTAGCGCTAATGTCTGCTGATATAATATTACCACGCCACGCATATTATCAACAAAATAGAATATTCTGTTCTGCAAACGAATACCAGCTGTTATGTCAATTGCGTATCGGCCTATCATTCTTGACGAATTAACCGCCCTAGCTGAGCTACCTGATGATCTCGCCGGTGAGGATGAAGCTTTACTGGAGACCATCGCAGTCTGTGGTTCGTTTCTTAAGTGGTGTGAGGACGTTATTGTTTTTGTCCATCAGTCTGCGAAAAAATTTCTGCTCGGAAAGGCATGGATCGAGGTAGGAGGATCAAGGAGCCTATCATCCTGCAATCTTTTCGCGATGTCTACGAGCTTCATTCAAGGTCTATATTCTTTCCACTCAGATAGTTGAGAGAATTTTGGGTTGTCTTGCTGGAAAGGAGAGGGGGCTGCAGGGCCATCTTGAGTGTAGAAATCCGGAGAAGGGCTAAATCCATATCTTGAGGGTGATATGTGATCATAGCGTCCTGGAGTGGGAGCGTATTGCCAGTCCTAGTCCGAGATATCGGGCGTACGAGCTTGAGAATCCAAATTGTCGGAAAATGAGGCGTTAAACACGGTCAGCACTCTCCTGCTGAAGGTAACGTTAGCATCCTAGACTTCTTGGTGTCAATAGGCGATGAGATCAGTTAAAGAGTTCAGCATTTTGTGAAGTCGAGAATAAGCGCATTGTTGACAAATTCCCACCAGATATTATTCTTTTATTTGTGCATGTCTTATCGCTCATTCAACAAGTTCTGTCAGGGAATGAGAGAAGTTGACAGAAGGTAAAATGCGTGTGACATCGTGGCCAGACAGCCAGCTTCCCCTTTTTCTTGGCATATTTGGTTTGTTTGTTAATAGAAGGTTCTAGACCGAGGAACTCAAACGAGACAATACAAAGGCTGTTTCTATATCGTATTTTACAGCCGTATTGGAATACCGCCAAGCACGGCTCCAGGGGCAGCCTAACTATAATGGGTATAGTATAGTGTAGGACTAAATTCTAAAGTAAATTAGAATGAAAGCAATAGGTGAAACTGATTTCGAGCGGTCCTGTATTCTCGATATTGATCCTAGGGCCCTGTACCTCGTGGTGACCAAGAGGCGGTTTTTTCATCTCGGTGCGAACGGGACTGTACGAAATAAGGCAGATACTGTACGAAATAAGGACAGTAGGGGTACCCCAATCCGGAGATTCCTCTTGAGTGGGACTGTATCGTGAGCGACGCGAGAAAGAAAAATGGCGGGACGGGCCGAGACGCGAACCCCTGAGCCGCCCGACCGCGACGAACACGAAGATTCACCCCCAAGATTAGCGAGGCCGCGACGCACCACAAGACCACCGAATAACTACGCTCAAGAGCAAGAGATTGACACCGAGCAGAGAAAGACACGCGCCCAATCGAAAAAGGGACGTCAAGGCAAATCAGTACCCCAGCACGACGCAGTATCTTCAGACGACTCCTCGACGGAGAGCGAGGACTTGAGCGCTACCGATCTCTTGAAAGAGCTTGTGAAGCTAAGGAAAGAGATTAGACGACGCGATGATCTGCATAAGAAAGAGCTGCAAAAAATCAAAGAGGAATTCAGCGCAACCCTTGCAGAAGTCCGACAGGAGCTACAGACCCTGGCAGACAGACCCCCGACACCGCAAGCCCTCTCCGAGCCTTGCTCTCAGAACGGCCACGATGAGATCCTTCGCGAAATTCACTCTCTGCGCATGGCAATCAACCCGTCAGGCCCCGCCTCGGGATCTCCGTCCTATGCAGACGTCGCCCGTACTCCCCCAATGAGCTACCCAAGCAACATACGGACCCTCTCATCGGCGAACACGACACCGACCAGCTTCACCGACACGCTATATTGCACGATAGACACCTCAAAGATGATAGACAATAGAAATGAAAGGAAGTCCCCAGGCTCTATCCGTGCGGCGGTCGAGACAGAAATTCGGACGATGGAAAACCACATGCATTGGCGCTGTCGCGCTGTCACGGTGGATCCAAAGAACATAAATCGGATCAGAATTGCCTGTCGGGATGAAACCGAACACCGGCTGGTCAAAGAAGTGGCGGAGGCTCAGATTGGTGCCGGAGCCCGAGTACTCCGTGACGAGCTTTACCCGATCAAAGTTGACAGTGTGAACAAGGCTGCAGTCCTAGACGAGAAGGGTGAAATTCGAAGCGAAGCCACAGCGCTGTTCAGCGAGGAGAACGACACCACCGTGGCCAAGATCGCATGGCTCAGCGGAAAGGAAAACGCGAAGGCCTATGGTTCCATGGTTGTCTATCTCACTAAGAGCCTTGATGCGCGGAGACTCCTGGCCGACGGGTACTTCCATGCTGGAGGAGAATCTGGCGTGACCAGCACCTTCGAGCACCGACCACGACCGATGCAATGCTACAATTGTCAGGAAATTGGACACAAGGCATTCCAGTGCAAGAACAGCCAGAAGTGTGCAAGATGTGCCGCGGAGGGTCACCGCCACAGCAGCTGCGACCAGACGGTTCCAAAGTGCATTCCATGCGGAGGCCCTCATGAATCGTACAGCAAGAACTGCCGGAAGCTCTATCCATCACGTCATGAATAGAAATCTCCGGATCATCCAACTTAATGTGAGGAAGCGAGGCACAGTACATGAGAGTCTAATGAATGACGAAGATACTCAGAACGCGGTGGCGTTAGCGATCCAGGAACCCCAGGCGAGGAGGATCCAAGGCCGGCTCTTGACTACCCCGATGGGACATCATAAATGGACGAAGATGGTTCCCTCCATCTGGAGGGAAGGCAGGTGGGCGATTCGAAGCATGCTCTGGGTGAAGAAAGAGGTAGAGGCGGAACAAGTGCCGATAGAGTCCCCCGATCTCACGGCAGCGGTCATCCGGCTCCCCAAGCGACTGATTTTCATAGCATCGGTTTATGTTGAAGGGGGCGATGCCTCAGCTCTGGACGACGCATGCAATCACTTACGGAACGCGATCACGAAGGTGCGGCGAGACACAGGCGCGGTGGTGGAGGTGTTGATCGTGGGAGACTTCAACCGACACGATCAACTCTGGGGAGGAGACGACGTGTCCTTGGGAAGACAGGGCGAAGCGGATCAAATCGTCGATCTTATGAATGAATTTTCCCTCAGCAGTCTGCTCAAACGGGGTACAAAGACATGGCATGGCGTAGGACAGACTGGGGACTGCGAGTCCACGATCGACCTCGTCCTAGCCTCGGAAAACCTGACAGACTCCATGGTTAAGTGTGCCATACTCGGGACAGATCACGGTTCGGATCACTGCGGCATTGAGACCGTATTCGATGCCCCATGGTCGCCCCCAAAGCATCAGGAACGACTACTGCTAAAAAACGCTCCATGGAAAGAGATCAATGTCAGGATTGCGAACACCCTAGCCGCCACTCAGTTAGAAGGCACGGTGCAGCAGAAGACCGATCGACTCATGTCGGCGGTCTCCGAGGCGGTACGTGCCTTAACACCAAAGGTCAAACCGTCACCACACGCAAAGCGATGGTGGACAGATGACTTAACGCAGCTCCGTCAAATATATACATACTGGAGGAATCGTGCCCGTTCCGAACGGCGAGCCGGGCGAAAGGTACCACGCCTAGAAGAGGCTGCTGAGGCTGCAGCGAAACAATATCACGATGCCATCCAGCAACAAAAGAAAAAGCACTGGAACGAATTCCTTGCAGACAACGATAACATATGGAAGGCCGCTAAATACCTCAAGTCGGGAGATGATGCAGCGTTTGGAAAGGTCCCGCAGCTCCTGAGAGCAGATGGAACCACCACTACTGATCACAAGGAGCAGGCAGCAGAACTACTGACGACGTTCTTTCCGTCTCTGCCGGACATTATCGACGAAGAAGGGAGGAGACCAGAAAGAGGATCGGTTGAAATGCCAGCCATCACGATGGAAGAGGTAGAGCGGCAACTGTGGGCGGCCAAGTCCTGGAAAGCGCCCGGAGAAGACGGCCTGCCGGTGGTAGTCTGGAAAATGACGTGGCTCACGGTTAAGTACAGGGTTCTCGACCTGTTCCAAGCCTCACTGGAAGAGGGCACGTTGCCAAGACAGTGGAGACACGCGAAGATCATACCGCTCAAAAAGCCCAACAAAGAAAATTACAGCATTGCCAAAGCATGGAGACCAATTTCACTCCTCGCGACACTGGGCAAGGTATTGGAATCGGTGGTTGCAGAAAGGATCTCACACGCGGTGGAGACTCACGGTCTGCTCCCGACTAGCCACTTCGGAGCCCGAAAGCAACGGTCCGCTGAGCAAGCACTCGTGTTCTTGCAGGAGCAAATCTACACGGCGTGGCGCGGCCGACGAGTATTAAGCTTGATCAGCTTCGATGTCAAAGGAGCCTACAATGGAGTGTGCAAAGAACGACTGCTTCAGAGGATGAAAGCGCGAGGCATACCGGAGGATCTGCTCCGGTGGGTTGAGGCGTTCTGTTCAGAACGAACGGCGACCATTCAAATCAATGGGCAATTGTCTGAGGTCCAAAACCTACCTCAGGCGGGACTGCCACAGGGCTCGCCACTGTCCCCGATCTTATTTCTTTTCTTTAACGCAGACCTTGTACAACGACAGATTAACAGCCAAGGAGGAGCAATCGCGTTTGTGGACGATTTTACTGCATGGGTGACCGGACCAACTGCTCAGAGTAACCGGGAGGGCATCGAAGCAATTATTGCTGAAGCGCTCGACTGGGAGAAAAGGAGCGGAGCGACTTTTGAGGCTGAGAAAACAGCCATCATACACTTCGCCCCCAAGGCTCACAAAATAGATCAGGAGCCTTTCACTATCAAGGGACAGACCATTGTGCCGAGAGACCATGTCAAGATCTTGGGCGTTCTCATGGACACGAGACTCAAATACAAGGAACATATCGCGAGGGCAGCGTCCAAAGGCCTAGAAGCAGCCATGGAGCTTCGGCGACTTCGCGGCCTAACGCCAGCGACCGCACGGCAGCTGTTCACATCGACGGTGGCCCCGGTGGTCGATTACGCCTCGAGCGTCTGGATGCACGCTTGCAGGGACAAAGCCAGCGGACCGATCAACCGAGTCCAAAGGGTGGGAGCGCAAGCAATTGTAGGGTCATTTCTCACAGTTGCGACCAGTGTTGCGGAGGCAGAGGCTCACATCGCCGCTACACAACGTCGTTTCTGGAGACGGGCCGTGAAGATGTGGACGGACATTCACACCCTGCCAGAAACCCATCCGCTCCGCCGGAGTACATCGTGGATCAAGAAGTTCAGGAGATACCACCGCTCACCATTGTACCAGGTAGCGGACGCACTGAAAAACATCGAGATGGAGACACTAGAAACCATCGATCCGTTCGTGTTGGCACCATGGGAGACTCGCGTGCAGACCGATGTTGAAGCAATGGCGGACTCACATGCAGTACCGGGCGGATCAATTCAAGTTGCGGTCAGCAGCTCGGCTCGGAACCGCCTTGTGGGATTTGGGGTTGCGATCAAGAAACAGCCACCTCGGTATCGAAAGTTGAAACTGAAGAGCTTTTTCGTGACACTAGGCGCAAGATCAGAACAGAACCCATTCTCCGCAGAGCTAGCAGCAATGGCACATACATTGAACATGCTAGCGGGACTGAAAGACTACCGGATCACGCTGCTCACGAGCAACAAAGCAGCTGCCCTCGCAATAAGGAACCCTCGGCAACAGTCGGGCCAGGAGTTTGTTCGCCAAACGTATAAGTTGATCCAAAGACTGCAGAGAAACGGAAACCACATCAATATTCTGTGGGTCCCTACCAGTAACGACAATAAGCTGCTAGGTCTGGCCAAGGAGCAGGCCAGGACCGCGACCCTGAAGGATGCCGTCCCGCAAGAAGCGGTCCCCAGGATGAAGTCGACAACACTGAATCTCGCTCGGTCTCAAGCAACTGCCTACAATGACTTGCCGGAGAACGTAGGAAGACACGTGAAACGAGTAGATGCAGCTTTGCCAGGAAAACACACTCGACAGCTGTATGATCGATTATCGTGGAAAGAAGCGAGCGTGCTGGCCCAACTCCGGACTGGCATGGCTAGACTCAACGGTTACCTCCATCGGATCAACGTTGCAGAGACGGACCAGTGTGCATGTGGACAAGCAAGAGAGACCGTGGAACACTTCCTCTTCCGATGTCGGAAATGGACCACACAACGAATAGCACTGCTGCAATGTAGCAACACTCACCGGGGCAATCTCTCCTTCTTCCTGGGCGGGAAATCGCCCTCTGATAATCCGCAATGGACGCCGAACTTAGAAGCCGTGCGAGCCTCAATACGATTCGCGAGCGCCACAGGCCGACTCGACGCCTCCTAACCACGTCGACCAACACAATGACACCTTTCCCCTAACCAACCTACACCTACCACCTTGTGCCAAAGATGGTGGACGCGCTTCAACTGCCGAAGATAGGATGTTGAACACTTGAAGAAGCGCCTTCAAGCCAGTCTACTAACCAACTTACTAACCCACAAGGATCCCTATGATATTGACAACCGAGAGGACATAGAGTGAAGGGATGCATGCATGGGCTCGAAGGAGATGCAGCATATATATATTAGGACATGTACTGATAGATCGTTTCAGTTGCCCTTTCGGCTTAGCCGCCGGGCGTTAATGAATTGTGTGTGTGTGTGTGTGTGTGTGTATCATATCTCCCAGGGTGACACAGATATGCACCTCTTACTAGCACTTCTTACCTCCATCTCGGTGGTTCTTGCCGGGACACTTCAGATAGTGGACCACGAGGGGCAATGCTTCGTGTATTCTACGGAAAATTTCGACTGTACTGGGATTTCAGAGCCATTTGCCACTCTGAATGGCACTTCTTGCTCCAGTAAGGCGACCATCAATGATAAAAAGCTAGTACTAACGACTTCCAGATCTGATTACAGCGCGGAAACACACCAAATCCGACTCCGATACAGTCAAAGTCAATTTATGTACCTCTAACGAACATTTCGCCTGGGTGGAGGTGTATCGGAGTGGTCTACTGTACTTCCATAATGATCAGGGAGACCCAGTGAACTGCAAGATCGATAAAGCTCTACAAAAGGGTAGTTTATGCACTGCGGAAAGCACTTCAAGGACTGTGATACCAAGCGAAAATCCCCAGCCGACTTCATCTGACGCTATGTCCTCCCAGGCCTCATTTGCGACAACAGTATCGACCACGACCCTTTCGAACTCGAGCTTCATTCATTCTGCGGGCGGCTGTTAGTTCAAAGAGTCTTCATTTATCAAGGCCAATTTGCTGCTTGATTTGCAATTTTGTCTGTCGAAATTGACTTCACCCGGTGACCGTGAAAACATGCGACCTGTGGATTTCTTGCTATGTCCTGTATCTCGTTTGTCCCCAATTGCCCGGCCTCAGGTTTCTCTAATTGTTTGACTGAATCCTTTGCGAAGATTGTAGCTTAGCGCAACTATTGAAGTATGATGACACGCGTATAAAGAAGGCCAGGAGAATCTGGTAACCGATTTGATTGCTGGCTCCGTAGTTTCCTTACCTTTGTGCTGTTTTCAAAGGGTCTTGGTCAGTACAGAAGTTATTAAACCGCTGCATCTACCAGACACACAAGACGTATTCCTCTGATGACTCAAATCTTCCCGGAACTCTCATCGGCATTAATTGGAGAAAGACCCATCTGGCAGGAGTGTAGCTAGCTGTCGGAAGTTGAATTTTGGCGATGGCACTCAAATCCCTACTAAGCTACTGCTGTAACCCTTTACTGACAAGCATTCTATTTGTTCTCAGCGTTTGTTTGCAAAGGACCTACGGAAATACATCATCGATATGTCTTTATCTTTCTAGTCAGGCCAAGCGAAACGGCATTGGCTTTGCTGAGCGAATGTCAATACAGCCTATTGTGGGATAAATTTTGTCACGACGCTTGATATATGTATACCGTAGAGTGAGCACCTGGAAAAAAGGACTCCAAATTTGGCCATGAAGGATTGTCTTGCCGAAATAATGTGGGACATAGACAACTACTCTTGAAGCTCTTTTTACTTTGTTTGTAACAAGGTTGTCATTCTCAAGCATAGCTATCGTGAGTTCTGAAAGGACGCACACCAGGAAAAAACAAAGAAAATCCGGTCCACGCTCGCTCGCCCTTCAGTAATTGCCTTCAATTACTGCAAGAAGCCAGTACAGTAGGAGTTATTGTTCCACGCGCGCACATATCCGATCTCTCATCAGAAGACCCTTCCAATCCTAAATCAATGCCGCTGTGCCGCAAAGTAAATGACCGCCATGGACCCGTAGATAACCAGACCAAGACCTCCAAAGTATACCATGCTGTAGTACACAGAGCCGCTCGGTATATCATTGGAACTTGCAAACAAGATCCGGAGTCCATAGATATTGCTTGCGATATAACCCATCAAAATTAGGATTGCCAGGCTTCGAACGAACTGAATGTAGACGAAAGAATACCGGAACCCGTTTCTCTCCCGTACAAGTCGCAGGTAGGCGGCGAGGATGAGCCCAAATGCAGACAACAAAGCTGGAGGGAGAGCAAGAACCAACATGATTTTAAGTACGTTGGTCAACATATTTTCGAACATGATAGCTAGCATGGAGTGATCGGATATGGTGTGGCTTGGTCTCGGGTGATCTCGCATGATGATTGCACGGTTTTCGACCGTGAGCTGAGAACGGTCGTAGATAGACTGGTTCTGGTGAAGAGTATCAAGAGATGTACTGTACGTAAATCATATATCCACTCACTCTGATATGAGGTACTTTCAGATAATCTCGTCTGAATACAAGGATCTTGCCCCAAAAGATAGTCCAACCAGGCGAAGAGTGGCATGGAAAGTGATTGGGGAGATAATCCTCTAGAGACAGCTTATAGTATAAGAACACAAACTGCACTGCCACCGGGACCCTAAGGATAAGGTAGTGAGCCGACCAGCTATGTCAGTGCTAGGGGACCTTACGACGATTTCAGGTCAAGATTGTGGCTATGTAATGGTTCTCCTAGGAGCTCCTATGTCTCAGAAATAGGGCATTCATCGGACCTAGTATATAAGTGGCAAATACTGTCAGCCTTGCGCCTGAGGAGCGAAAACTGACGTTCTTGGTGATTACGTTCGGAGTAACCCCCATTCCGGTGACATGAAATCCCCGATGTGGTGAAACGCCCACCAGGTACCTGCACATTCGAGGCCCATCACTTCCAATACATATCCTGAATATTGCCTGAAAGTTGCAAAAACAACAACCATTGAATGCTTTCATGATAGCTTTTCGAACACGGATTACAAAATGTTAGCCTGGCGAAATACAGACCGAGACGCACTGCTAGAGAGTCCGCCGTTGACAATTATCACGCCAAAACCACGTCCAAAACGCTTGAGATGGGCAAGAAAGGTAATGTTGTATCCTTTCGTCTACCTTCCGCCCAAAATGGATTTCTGAGCTTATCATAATCATATTGCCTGGGAGCATACCAATTTTGGTGAAAAGCTTGGCAACGGAAAGGTACCTTACGAATCCGTAGAACCAATGAATTATTCTCTGGTGGGCAAGACCCGTCGGGACATCTCGCAGCTGGACAAAGGTTCGCATTCTTTCATGGCGCGAGGCGTCAACACCACTCACTCAAGGTGAGGCTTAGAGATTGGTTCGAGTCATTTGAGACGGATACAGGGTGAAAACCGACGCGTGGCCCAAGTTTGGCATCTCAGCGGTCTTGCCTATCCTATTTCTACAAAAGGCTGGCTCGTAGTTTCTACCTTGCATAGTTGCTCTTTCACCCACATTGAGACGAAGTGACAGTGCAAGACACTTTCTCCGTGCCAGATGGCACCTGCCGCAACAGCTATGGGCGGTCTCTGTTACTTGCTTAGATAGATTTATAGAAGTAGTCAAGAATACGTTCACTGAAACTCTAAAAGGACAAGTAGCGCCCGAGAGTGCTATCTATTAGAGACACGCTGATTTGACGGTCTATGTGACTCTGGAGGCCAACTTACGCTCTAACCGTTATTTCTTTTCAGGATCTCGACCGAGGTTCCTGGGAACGGTCTTCTTGGACCCGGGAATTTATAGACTCCTGGGAGTCTCTAATTTGCCTCTGCAGATATATAGAATGGCGTGCCGGCCTAAACCAGAAAGCTGGGATGATGCATCAGGGTCCGAACAAGGGATCTAAAGGCGACCATTTCTTCCACTGATACGTTTTGCGATTAGTTTGACTACCATTTGGCATCTTGACGTTCGAACTTGGTACGATCTTTAATCCAAATCATGTCGCAAAATCTCAGATGCAAGAGTTCAGAGTTGCTGATTCAGCTTCCTCCGGAAATTCTTCTCTACCTGTCGGAATTTTTTCACTCATCACGAGATCTGTTTGCGATGGCCTGCGTGAACAGAAATTCAAAAGATTTTCCTGCCGTGTCTCTACACCTTCAATGTTCGCCATCAAGAAAGCTCCGCGTTGATCTGGGCCGCTCAAAATAACAAAATCGCTCTGGCAAATCGTTTTCTAAAGGAATATCGAGCAAATATCAACACGACAGATAGCAGATCTCGCACGCCCGTTTTCCACGCTATTCAATTTGGAAGTGAGGAAATGATTCAAACTCTTTTGGAAAGTGCGGCAGACATCAATTGGAAAGATGACCAAAAGCAGACCCCACTGCTATATGCTCTGCAGCGGGGACACCTATCCCTGGCCCGTGTTTTATTGCAGCATTTCAATCCATCAGTGAATTGTATGGATACCAAGGGTCGAAATGCTATCTGGTATGCTGTCGCCAATTGCGATGAGGAATTGGTACGCTTTCTCTTAGAACTGCGAAGCGATATATGGATGATGGACTGCCGACAGACTACCACTCTCAGCCTGGCGATTTTCAATCGAAATTTGCCTATCATCCAGTTGCTGCTTGATCATTCACAAGCTCATCCTTCACAGCCTCGGCTGGTGGACGTTCATGATGGAGACCACCCGCTTTGCTTGGCCGTCTCAGGCTGGTCTGAAAGAAATTGCCCATACTCTGATTAAGATTGGTGCAGATCTCCAGGTCACGGATAGATACGGCCAGCCCTTGTTGCATCAAGCCGCCAGCAACGGGCATAATGATGTCATCCAGCTGTTGCTGGGCCATGGGGTCGATGTCAATAGTACGGATCCAGGAGGCCGCACGGCATTGCATTTCGCTGCATTTTATGGCCATAAGTCAACTACTAGAATACTGTTAAGCAGCCCTGAGATTGACAGTGCGACTTGTGACAACGAAGGGGCTACACCTCTCTGCGCGGCCGCGCGGGGAAACCACCGATGTGTTGCATTGCAGATCTTGGATAAGGAACCAACCAGCATCAATGCACTGGGCTTTGGCGAAAAGAATGCTCTTCATTTTGCGGTCGAAAATAGAAACATCCACCTCGCGTCTCTGCTTGTGGACCTGGATTCACCGGACCCAAACACCTGCGACGTCCAGGGCTGGACGGCCCTTAACTACGCAGCGGGCCAAGGCGATCTGCGGATGATGGAACTCCTTCTTACTAGGAGTGATCTAGAATTGAATATATCGCGCGTACCCCCCATTTATCTTGCTGCTGAGAGGGGGCATCTGGAAGTTGTCCACCGACTCGTCTCTCTTCACAAGGTCGATATCAATCAGACCTACTGGCGCAAGTCTCCTCTATTCATCGCGATCGAAAAAGGCTACCGTAGTATTGCAAAATTGCTGCTTAAACAAGGGTCTCGATTGAATGTTAACGCCAAGACTTCCCTTGAGGATACGGCACTACATATTGCTGTCTCTTATGGAGATTCGGAAATTGTGGAGCTATTGCTCAGAGACGATTGACTCGATGTTACAGGTACCAATCGATATGGAGAGTCAGCCCTGGAGCTGGGAGCCCGGAACGGAAAGGAGCTCGTTGTCAGGCTTCTTTGCCACGACCGCCGAGCAAGAAATGGAAGCCACTTCCGGAGTGCCATGGAAGCAACATCAAATCTTCGGATTCTGTATTTTCTTCAGGGGCAGGTGATGAGACATGGCATGGAACACAGCGTTCGTCGGTCAGCTCGACTTGCCGGAGGAAGTTTACCAGATCATGGAATCTCGTACCACGCCGTCACTTCGAAGGTCGGCGCGCTCATTACAGTCAAGACCCAGGAGATTCTAGATAATGATTTGTGGTTAGCGCGAATACTGAATTCGTAGATTTCATGGTTATATCTCCTTCTCAGGATTAGTAGATGTTTTGTTGGCAACTAAGAAGTTCAGTAATTGGCAATATGAAATATATTTTGGATATCAGATGAAGAACAGAGAATAAGATTGCAATACCACATATCGTGTTCCCCGGTCCGAAATTTGTTTCAATCGTCGCTTGTATGGCCCGGCGGGTGCCTGTTGATGGAGGTGTCCGAAGCCACGAGTCTTTGCTGGGGTGGTTTAGAAGCACTTCCGCGCCTCCACAAGCGCTACTTCCGCGTTAAATTTATAGAATTCCTTCTTCTAGAACCTTAGAGAATCGACAATCATTGCCGATATACGCAAAAAGAATAATCCATTTCTTGAATGGGGTCAGCGGCGAGAGCATGTTATTATCAGGAATAAGGAAGCTCAACGTACCAGGAAGAGCTATTCAATGGTAGGGGCCCCGAGCCTCGAGTCTCCCTGGAGTTTTTGAATTGATTGTCTAGACATCAATGTGTTGACCATTGACTAGAGAAAAAGCTCGATAGAAAGGGAGGTTACTACTGTACAAGATTGCGGTGAGAGGTTGAAAGATACCTGGGATACGAGGTGCTGAGAGGTGCAGAGTAATGATGAAAAGGGCGCAGAATGACAGAAATAGCTTCATTACAGCATTTCAACCATCGACTTGGTCACATTCTCTACTTTTGATGCCTCATTATTAGTGAACGCATCGCTATCCTCAGAAGCAACCGATCGGCCTTCGGGGGCGAGATCCATATATTTAATAGTATTTCATGGATACAGAGAGTTTGACAGTGTCTCGACATCAGCAGTCGACACAATAGGAATATATCGTGGGTTGGTCCTGAATACAAGACATAGAGCGAGGGATCAATGTAGTGGGGCTTTGTCGCGTCGAGGGTGACCGGTAAAATGGTAGCACTCCCCTAGATACTGAATGGTCGAACAGACATATAAGGTGCAAGACTATACAATGGCCTACACCATTTACAGCCTATAAGCCTTGCGTATATCATGTCACCATCCGCCCTGTAGGCTTTATGTATGATGCTGATGTGGGATTCATTACATATCTCGTAGAAGTGAGGCCGGAAGGCTGCACGTAGAACTACCTGTCCTAGTGATATCATACTTGAACCCTTGAAAGTAGAGTTCTGGCCCCGGGAACGAGAACAACAGCTCTAGGATCTTGCTCGAGAGCCCCAGGAGCAAAATGGATCCTGAGGCGAGTGGTTGTATTCCCAAATTCGGTTCGGTCATTCTTGGGATCGCCCATTGGGATCCCAGAATGGACCATTTCTCTCTGAATCTGCTCGGGGGAGAAAACTGTACAAAGTTTCCGGTCCAGGGGGTTCTCACGCAGATCCCCGAAACCAAAGGTCTGGCCCTGGGATCCAAAGTGAGCGTTCTAGGAGCGCTCCAACTGCCACACGGTTTCATATGACCCTTAAACCGACCGTGCCGTGAATAGGTTAAACTATTGCGAGCATAAACAAATCAGGGACGCAGCTTTCAATTGTCAAAATTCTACGGCCAATGTACTGTAGTATGGTTGAACTCAACAAATTTGTCTGCGTGAATGGTAGCTAGATTCATGCACGAGCGTGCTCGACAGATGAGGGCGTGTAGACGCAGACTTACTTAGAACACAGCATGTCCACCAGCCTCAGTTTTAAGGCTTAGCCATTACAGAAAGTGATATGACAGGATCAACAGAGCAGGCCACAGGGAACCGGGGATCCACCGCACATCATTTTTAAGTGTTGATTGTTGATAAACGGGTGAGGCCTGGACAAACGAAGGTGAAAGTCGGAAAAATCCACCGCTGCCTCACCACATGTAGCACCAAGAACTGATGCCATGGCGTGGCTCTCGGAAAGGCCTGTCACTGGATCACCTTCATTGTTGGCCATCCCACCGCCGCAGTAGAGGAAAGAATAGCTCAACAGGCATCATTTTGTATACGCATCAGGCTGTTAGAATCGGGGACATACAGGCAAATCCACGTCATTGCGATATGAAGCACGCGGCAACAAGAGCTGCAAAGCTATAAATGTGGCCTCCTCCCCGGATTCTTTGTCGAAATAAACCTGTCCTTTGTCGTACTGGATGAATTCCCTTGCACCACCCACCATTAGATACTCTGAAGCAGCCAGCCCTTGATAAGTTCTTCACCTTTGGTTCTCCAAGCCCTTTTTGTCAGTCATACAAACAGCATACACCCACCCAGATCTCGCTAGGTCCTCAGCGGTTCACTCCAACCGACTTGTGTTCGTGCGGCAACCAGACCCTAAGTCCGGACCAGGCTCGAACCGTCTATACATTCGCACACATTCATCAGCATCTTTGAGTCGAGATAACCATGTCGATTTTCACTAGCCCGTTGACGATGAGAACACAGAGAGGTTTCCTTTACAGGTTAGTTTTTGATCAGCCCAATACAACCGGACAGTGTGCTGAAACACCAAATATTACCACCAGCCCGGTGGATTCAGATTCAAACGCTCCAAGTTAGCGTCAGAAATATTCCACGCCCCACCAGCCAGCCATAGACGAAGCCTAAATCACCAATCAGTCCAGAACGTGTGAGCTAGCTCTTTATGTGAGTCGTGAGTATCTTGTCTGATCCACTTGCTAAATCATGTCCGACAGAGAGTGACCCTGGCGAGGCCTTCAGAGACCATCAGCGTCTGATAATGATTCATGCGTGACGTGCACGCAAATATCTTGACAGGAATTTGCTACGATCACGCACATGTTGCCGTGGCCTCGGGTGCTTCGAAATCTGGGGGAGTCTCCGGAGCATGGCTACACGTGCAGTCCGCCCACGGCTGGGGCTGCCACTAAGTCGTATTGAAAGGTTTGTTGAACCCTGAGGATGTCCCCTCATCGTAGTATCTTCATTATCCTGGTCGAAGCCGGCGAAGGGCGATAAAGAATATCGGACAGGATGGGAAGAGCGAGAAAGGACTCTCATATTATGAATTTCATGCTGAATATCTTCTGCTACTAAGTCTCCCAAAAATCTGCCGGATGCAACGAAAATTCTTGAGCGTGCATTACACGCATCCATACCATTATCCCGTTCACTAAAAAACGAGGAAACTCTTGCCTTGGGTTCTCTCGGATGTGTCAAAGTCAACAGAACTCATGACTACCGGAATCAAGCCCGCTCTCGTTAGGGGCAGCCGTCGCTATTATGTTTAATCCGAGTCGATGAATACTCGCTCCCCTGAAAGATTTGCGGATCGCCGGAGACAGTCATGAATCACCATACCGCGAGATGTCAGAGAAATCTTTGACGGTGGGATTGAACGGTTTCTCTGCGGGAAAGACAAGGGGAAGAATCTCGCAGGTCCACATCCAATGAGGTAGGAGTTCCTTCTCCTTGCAATAAGCTTAGATTCTCGTGAAAATCTACCAGTCTGATCGAATGGCTATTGAATAAGGAAGGTGGCCTGCAATGGTTGCTGCTCCCCCTATCCCTGATTTCTCTATGGCCATTGAAAAAGGAGAAATCGCTGTCTTTGACAACTACACAACATGAACAGTAGGTTCCACTGCTAAGACCAGTACGAATGCATTTTAACTGGTCAGTCCACGAGCGTTCGATGAGCGTCGCAGTCTGGTTCGGCTTTAGGGTCACTGAACATCGGTTCATCCACCTCACGCAAAACCAACGACATCGACAGCGCCGGCTGCCTGTGGTCCCGCTCCACGTGGATGAAGCGACGGTCGCCCCGGCTCTTGAAGGTCCTCGTCAGAACGAACCTGAATGGCTTCTATGTTCGAGGATCGGTAAGGCTGGAGGACAAGAAACAAGCAGTGCTGGCCCTCACGACTACGCGGGGAATCTCTTTCGGTGGCTTGGCAGCTCTTCACGGCCAAAGTCCATAAAATTGACTATGCGGCGATAAGATGTTGTCAAAAAGACAGGATATATTCCTTACAGCAGAAATCGAATACCAATTTGAAACTGTCCCGCATGTCGCATCGCATGCGATAGCTGGGGGATCCTCAACTGCAACGCTCGTCATCAACAAGGGACAGATGAGGACTGAAGCGACTGTCATGCGCCATTGAACCCGCATATTGAACATCGGATGCTTTGCCATGCTTTGCGAAAGGGTCACCACTTTGGTTTAGCAGTCTCATGATTCTTATGATGAGTTTCTCACCTTTGATACTGTCTGAGCCCTTCACTTACTGATGTGAACTTTGAAGTCACCAGCTAGCTTACGCAATGCATCCCGTATGTCTGCTCCGCACTATTGCCTGTAAATCATCCCACATGATTATAGCTGAAGGGCAGACCAATACGACCAGGCGTTGGGTGGAAAGGAGGAGGAAGTCGGGCTGATCCGTGCCAAAGTCAGATGTACGTTGTTTTTACAGTCTCCACCGAGCATCTTTACGGCGAAGCAAAGCGTGGTCAAAATTGAAGTTGAAGACTGCGAAGGGGCTTCTTTTCTAGCAGAATGCATACTGTACTGACAAAAGGGTTATTGTTCTAGCGCGGCGACAAGACCAATGCTGCGGGATTGGTGAGCAGGCACAAACTTGCACCCGTCTTCACGATCTTACCGCCTGACTGTTCTCGGCAGATCTTTACTGAGGCCACCCAGGTGCGAAGCACT